CCCCTGGTCACGGCCGACAAATGGTCTTCCAGTGTCAGCCGTGGATCCAGGAGGACACCCAAGTTGCGTGCCCTCTCTGAGGGGGCCAGAGTCTCGCCCCCTATAGTCAGCGATGGAGTCAGCTGACTATGCCGGGGCGCCGGCAACCACAGCCACTCGGTCTTGGAAGGGTTGAGTCTGAGTCTGTTCCTCCCCATCCCTATTATCAATTTCATATTTGATCTGTATTTACTTTACCCCTATTTCCATGATTGCTACTAGCAGCCTGAATATCAAGCTTCAGAAAGGTCATGGCAGAAATCTCTCTGTGAGATCCATTAGGGGGAAAAAAACAATGATTATCTAAGGGCAAAAAAAATAATTTTGGTGGTAATATCACAAATATTTATGTACTAAATACCTGTAAGGCCTCTATGACATAAATGCTCACATCAGCCATGTAATTAGGACTGTATTGTTGTTGTGCTAAAGTTTATTCCAGGGCTAGAAGTGAGGCTTTTTATATTAAAATCTATGCAAAGCATCTTTCCTCTTTCAAAGCTTTTCTCATATATTTCTCACATTTTCAAGTCTCTGCCCACACCTATTATAAAAACTAGAAACTTGCACTAAACAAAATAGCACTTCTTGTGCATTTTTATGTTTCATATATTAAAAGATTATACTCACTATGCAACTTTCACTGTTGTCTTCTCTGTGGGGTATAATGTAAGATACAACATCAAGGGATCCTTCACATTGCCAAGGCGTTTGGGAAACATTTTTACAACTTGTCAATGTAATGAAGTAGTGAGTTGGAATGAGGACCGCTAAATTAGTTGAGTGCCTGAAATTTAATTTTAAAAGGAAAAAAAACAGCAACATTTTTGTGTTAGTTGTACTGAGCATACTCCACACACCAAAGAAATATACAAGCTATATACAGATCTCCCTTGCTAAACCAATTCCACAAGCTATTAGGCACATTCAAAGAACTGGTTATAAACCTTTAAACTATTTGTATGAGAATTTTCTTCCTGTCAGTCAGTCTGGGCTTCACAATCTCCAAGAGAATTTATTTTCTCAGATCACACCATTGAAATTAGATTTGATAGAAACAGAAACCCTGGGCTTCTCAAGTAACTTTCATTTTAATGATGTGCAAATTATGTTTTTAAAATGTACTTGAAATGTATTTCCCTTTTCTAAATCTTATAACTACTATTAAAATAGTGATGGACATTCTTTATGGAAAGTATACTTTTAATACAGCAATGAATAAATACATCCACCTGATTTGAGGCCTTCATCCAAACGATAGAAGCAACATTGCACTTTTGCAACACAAGCTCTACTAGATTCATAGCTATGTGTGGATATCATGATGCACGTGTAAAAGTGATGACAAGGTGCTGCTTTCATTATTTGTTTCTCCCCTGATATCCCTCCCCTGCTTCCCCAGGGATGCCTCTGATAAGGGCTGCCCACAACACTGCTAGAATGTTAATGTATATTCCTTGATACCAACTTGAACCATACTCTTAGATTATTGTGAACATTGAAATGGTTTCACCCACCAGCTTTTAAATACCATATCAAAATATCTTTCATACTGTTTGGAACAAAATATGTATTGAAATACTTATTTGAATGTAATTTTGTTTTAAAAAAGAAAAGCCATAATTTACACATGTGAAAATCAAATATAATGTATTGATACATATGGAAGAAGCCACAAAGGGATTGATAGGCTCAATATAAATTGCTAATTGTCTTACTACTTCGGGACATACATTCTGTTAAGTCAGAAAAATATATTTTTAACTGAGGTTTGTTCCCATAAATTAAATCAAAGCAGTTATTTCAACACACAGTCACACACACAAAAGCTAAAACAGATATCTGCTAACCTTCTTATTTCCTCTGGTGTATCATATACGCCATTGTAGTCGTAATCAAATATAGGACCTGTGATCACATTTACACCATTTCTGGCTGCAGCATATGATGGTAGTAGGACAGCACTAAAATATTCCCAAATCACTGAAAGAACAAGGGAGAATATCTCTAAGAAAATATCATGACTTGAAGAGAACCAAGCCCATCAGTGATATCGCTGGTTGAAGGTCTATTTTTTTGTTCTGTGATCATGGGCTGCCTTTATTTTACTTATATATCAAAACAGTATGAATTTCATAACTATTTCCAAGTATGTTGGAACTACACAGTCCTACCTAATATTTTGTGCTTGGCATACTGGAGGGCTGGAGCTTCGGATATGAGCTTCCAAATCCAAGAGATATTTATGAATGAATTTAACTCTGATGCGCATCAGAGTTAAATTCCAAATATAAAGCAAACAATGGCATTTGCTTTGACCATCTTTTTTTTTTTTTATAGTTCTTGAATGGACTGACACTCTTTGCTGAGGTGATCTACAATCCAGAAATCCTCCTAATCTTTAGAAACAGATAATCAGTAGAAAATATTTCTTTCACTATAAACATTTTCCATCATGGTTTTACATAAAGACTATCTTGGCTAGTTTGAGAATCGCCCTTGGAGCCTAGGCAACCAAGGAAGCAGTGTTCAATCTACAGCCATAGGATTATCTATCTCTGGGTTAGAGAACTGAAAACCATTCTCGATAGATTTTATTTAGAAGGCCCTTTGAGCTCAATGGGCTTACTCCTAAGTCAGTGGTTCTCAACCTTTTTAATGCCGTGACCCCAACCGGTCGTAAGTCGAGGACTAAACCGGTCGTAAGTCGAGGACTAAACCGGTCGTAAGTCGAGGACTACCCAACCGGTCGTAAGTCGAGGACTTTCCCTGCCCGGGAGCGCCGCACATGTGTGGTTCTGCCCCCTGCACTGGCCGAGGCATAGCTGGCAAGCGGCAGAGACGGAGCAGGCCGACCACCAGCTGGCCCAGCCCAAGGGAGGTAAGGCACCCGCCGGAAAAGAGGAAAAAATGGCGGACAAAAAAAATGGCGGACAAAAAAAATGGCAGACAGCCTTGCTTGGCTACCCCCATGAAATGGTCGATCGACCCCAAATGGGGTCCTGACCCACAGGTTGAGAACCACTGTCCTAATTAAATAGACTATTTTAGCCTTCCAATTTTAGAAGTATCTTGCTTGCATGAGTACAGAAGCTATATAAAGGAACAGAAGATCCATTTATGTTTTGACTTGTTAAGCCATGGTATGGTCATTTGAAGTAGCTTGCAGACATATAGAATCAAGAATGTAGGCATTCAGGAAATTGTTATGAGACTGAAGAATTATAGTACAACGCAGCACAGCACCATCATTCATTGGACATTACTACATGTATATTATTGCAGATACAATCACAAGAGCATAACAATTATGTTTTAATAATATAATTAATTATATTTCATTAGCTTATATTGTTCCCATAAAAAGAAGCAAAAGCCCATAATAATTAGCCTTTTACCTTGAAAAGCAGAATACATTGGTGCTATGTTGCTTGAGAGAAGTCCTTCATAATAATTTTTCTTATCTTCTTCAATCAGATCTAGAAACATAAAAATATATAAGCAAGCATTTAAAACTGATATGTATCAATATATCAAATGATTGAAAAACCTTTCTACTTTCTGAAATGAATACACGGTACTAAACATTTAAGTCCAAATACAATGTTCAAGGCTCAAAGAGATGGGTTTGCTTATTTATGTACTATATTTATTTTAATCTACAGGCCAGTGGTGGCGAACCTATGGCACAGGTGCCAGAGGCGGCACTCAGAGCCCTGTCTGTGGGCACGCGCGCCATCACCCCAGTCCTAGGCCTTCAACTGGGTTTTATAAACCCTTTTTGCTTTAGGCCTCCGCCACCGTGTGCAAAAAGAAAAAGGTTCAATCAGTCAATTTCAACTTCTTGCGGGAAAAAAAAGATCTTGCAAAGTTGGAATTGATTGATTGAACTTTTTAGTCTCACCCAGTCTGCCATTACCACCGCAGCCACGCCCACCAGTGGGCCACGCCCAGCCAATGGGCCACACCCAGCCAATGGGCCATACCCACCCGGCACTCGATGATGCATAAGTGGGTTTTGGGTTGCAGTTTGGGCACTCAGTCTCTAAAAGGTTCGCCATAACTGGTATAGGCCATTCAATACCTAAACAACTCTGGGTGGCTTAAGTTATATTATTACTAAATATTCTTAAGCCAGTACACCATTCTATTGCAATCATCCCCAAAAGGCATTCCCAAGATAGGTGAGTTACATCTCCCAAAATGACCAACTGACATGGCTATTGGCCTGCTGACTAGACAATATAAATCTTGTAGTCCCGACATATTTAAAGGATACCAAATTGTATGAAGCACTGCATTCACCAAAGAGAATATTCCAAAATTTCCCAGGAATGTTGATGAGCACACTGAACTTCCAAAGGATCAAAAGGCAATTCCTACTTAAAAGTTAACCTCAGCTTCAAACAAGAGGATGCCACCTAATTTGGGGATTGTGTTTATGAAAAGAAAACCCCATTTAAATATTAAAATAAATGTATGTGTTAAGATGACTGAGTCTCCAAAAGCAAATATGAAAATTTCAGAACTATTTTTTCCATATTAAGCCTTTCTGAATTAGTGGTTTCTAAAGTCATCTGGCCACTGCTACACCATATACCTTATCAATGCTCATTCAGTGAGAAATCAAGCATTTTAATGTTTATGTACCACTCATAGCTGTATATTTATTTTAACATTAAAATGTTGGTTCTTTTGTAGTTTGAATGTAAAAGATAAAAGGTGTTTTGATAGTACCTTCTATCTGCCAGCCATGATTCTACATTTTTCATACTTATTAACATTTTGTATAAATATCAATTAAAGATTTTCTAGGTTGGCTTTGGCTTACGTCCAATATTTAATTCTTATATATAAAAGAAGATAGTCCACACATTTTAAGAAACAGAAACAAGTTTTATTTTGGCTATTAATTTAATCTCTGCTTTGGCTGATCTCAAATAATCTAACTAGGATTATACCTGGTTATTACCTTAATGGGAACCCAGCATGAAATTCCTGGGGCTATAAGCTAAATTAACTAGTAAAACAATATTCAGAAGAAGGCAACAGTGAGCTATTTGCATATTGTTGCCAAGAAAAAGCCATGGATATGCCTATAGAACCAGGAGTCAAATTTATCAGGAGAAAATTTATCTAAATATTGTTATCACTCTGCTTAGAAATAAGAGAGAAAATGGAAATTACTTGGAGGAAAAAGAAATCCATAGTTAAGCTGAGGGTGATTTTTGTAAAGTGAACAAGTTTGACTGCTATTTAAAGAAATACGATGATCCGTGTAGAAGCAGCTTCTGATGGCACCTGCAGAGGCATTCCAGCTGTCCTAATTAACAAAACAAAAGTACCAGTGGTTATGTATATTTATTGTATATAAAGAATAAGACAAGATAAATATACAATAATCCAGCTATATTATGAAAGAGTGTTTTGTTTTAGCTCTATTAGGTCTATACAGAATGTACCTCTGGCTAAGTTTAGATATTTGCAAAGAGGATTTCTAAAGACCACTCTATTCACAGCATTTATCATTTTATAAATCCATTATATTTTCCCCTATCAAGGGTAGACTGATGTAGCCCTCATTTTGATCTACAGTATATCACTTCCCAGCTTCCTACAGGGTGGGGTTTTTTTTGGTTCATATTAGGCTCTCATTATCAGGAGAGCTTATGTAAGACAATTGGCCCACAGGAGTTGTGAAATCCAAATGTTCAAACTGCTGTGCACATAGGCCTTTACTTGGCAAAACAACTGGGTAGCAATATGTATGGTTTTAGGATCCAACGGGACAGAATTAACAAATTCCATTTCTAATCTATTCAGAGATTGTGTATGTGTGTGCGGACATTGGTATAGGCCAGGGATAGGCAACTATGGCTCTTTTATGACTCATGGACTTCAATTGAGCATGGCTGGCTCAGGAATTCTGGGAGTTGAAGTCCACGAGTCATAAAAGAGCCAAGGTTGCCTACCCCTGGTATAGGCTGTGCAGTTAGCTGAATGCAAAGGAGACAATGGACTTCAGATTCATATAAGGGTTCAGAAAGTATCAGTCAAGAGCATCTTAATCAAGCATGTCTTTTGCCAGGATTATCCTTTTTTTCTTGACCAGGAAAAGATGCAGCTGCTTTTAAAGTGTTCCTAAGATGGCTAACTGTGCAGTCACACATACTTTAATTACTGTACATTGGAAGTGTACATTACTCAAGTATCATTATTCAAGTATCCCTGCACAACATGCATGCATTCATATGCTGCACAGCACACACTGAGAAATTATATAAAGAGGTAGTGATTTAATTCATCTGCCTAGCAGCATAATAACTCTTCAAAACTAAGGCCAATTTTCTTGTATGAAGAGAAACCAGCAAAGGACAGATCAAAATAAATAACGGTCCTGATTTGGCTGGAGGATGATGCAAATTCAGAAAAAAAAATTCCACAGTATATCTGTGAAGAAGCAACCAGTTTTTAATTTCTGGTTCTATGACTCAGAGATAAGAATATACTATATACTTATCATGTATTTTCACTGCAGAAATACATGCAAATATGTGATCACAGCTGGTAAAGAAATCAGAAAAAAAAAATCCAGCAGCCAAACTACATATGTTTCATGTATTTTACTTAAAACATTGCTGAAAACATGCACTATTTAAAAATGATTTATTTCCATAGTCTTTGTTCCCCACTTAAATGAGCCCACATCTGGCTTGCCACATTGTTTTTTTCCTGCCACTCACTGCTTTATATCTTTTTCCTTCAAATGAAAACGGAATTACCCGCATACTTACATGCTTGTTAACAGAATAGCTACTCCACAAAGGCATCTTGATGTTCTGGCTAAATCCACTGACATAATGATGGTTGTGAAGGAGGCAAAACGTCTGCTTCTTTTGGAGTACATGGGGCCTCCCAAAAGGCAAGTTGTATTCTTCTATCTTCTTTACTACAGGAGATTAAAAAGGCAAACTAGGTCTGCTACTATATAGCAACTTCCCAGTCAAGGTTTTCTGCTTAATTTACCCATTTCCAGAAGCAGTTATAATACTTACTTTCTGAAATAGTAAGATCTACCTGTGGTTGAATCGGTCGCAAGGGCTATATGTAAAGGAAAGCAGAAGATGAAGTCATTTTTAGGCAGCATCAGACAGAAGAAACAAATAAAAAATTATGAAAAAAACCAATCTACAGTAAACTACAAAATGATTGATAAATTGACAGAATGATGATATTGAGTAGCATTGAATAGCGAAATGGGAGGCATATAAGTTATATGAATGTAGAGATATAGATAAAGATATATATGAGATGAGATGAGAATACACACACACATACACACATGAGAGAGTGTGTTTTCTAGTCCTGCCATAGCCATGAAAGCCAGCTGGATATCCTTGGGTCAGTCACTCTCTCTCAGCTCAACCCACATTACAAGTTTGTTGTTTTTGTGGGGCCATCTTGGGTTATTTGTAAAAATAAGATGATAGATAGATAGATAGATAGATAGATAGATAGATAGATAGATAGATAGATAGAGAGAGAGAGAGAGAGAGAGAGAGAGAGAGAGAGAGAGAGAGAGAGAGAGAGAGAGAGAGAGAATCGTAAATGAATTGTATCCAAATTTGTCATATACAACCATGAAAATAGGAGGCATTTTTAATTAAATCACCAAAAATTCTAATTGATATTCCTGAAGAGCAATTGTTGTTTCTCTAAGTCAGGGGTCTTCAAATTTGGCCCTTTTATGACTTGTGGACTTCAACTCCCAGAATTCCTCAGCCAGGCACGCTGGTTGAGGAATTCTGGGAGTAGAAGTCCACAAGTCATAAAAGGGCCAAGTTTGAAGACCCCCTGCTCTAAGTCCTTACCAAAGATTTACATGAGCAGATATGGCCATCAGTGGAGGTCCTCTGCCTCACCAAAGGGCATGCAGAAGGATTGCTTTCTTCTTGGGGATGCTTGGGAATATAAGTGACTCTCTTTAGAAGGTGGCTGAGGCTTCCATGAGTTCCATTGTTAGGGGCTGGTGTTAAATCAAGAAGATCTAAAATAGTTGAGAAAACCGTGTCAAAGATATTGAAGATATGCTTTACATCACAGTTTAAACATAATTCTTATAATAAACATGCTATGGACATAAATGGTCATTACTTATCTATGTGCTAAATTTAATAGCAGGCCATGCCAGTTATTCCATAAAACTATTAGTATAAATAAAGCATGCTATTTTAAAAAATCCTAAGTACAAATAATTGTTATTAAAACGTAATATAAAAATAGTCAGGAAGAGTTCAACGTATGGATGAAAACTAGAGAGATGCCCCATATGGCAAGTTTTAAAGAATCAAAAGAGAAGTTTTTAAAGGAAAAGAAAGGGAGTTAGATAGGGACCAAATTCCATTTCTAACGTTACTAGAAACTGGCATCAGCACAGACATCAGAAGTAATCTTTCAACTTTTCAATATAATAAACATAATTAAAGTAAGTAATATAATTCTAGATGAATGGTAAATATTTTCTAGAAATGTTTTGAGTTGATGAGGTAAAGGGGTCAAGCCAATTTATCATACCACATATTAAGTTGTAGATTTCAATATTTTCAAATGGATCAACTTCTGTTTGAAACTTGAATCCAGGCCCAAATCCAATAAAGAGTGCCTACAACAAAAACCGCAAATCTAGTTACTTATTTATTCAATTTCTATAGCTGCCCAACTCAACTAAGTGACTCTGGTTGTACCGTAATTGGAATATCCAGCTGGTCTTTATCTGGAAAAATTGCTGAATTCCCCAAAGCAGTTTACTAAAAACTTGCCTTCAGAAGAAGAGAAGAGTTAAATCTATATTTAAAAGACAGCTGGCTCCCCTCTTAATAGATTTATTCAAATAGAAAAGTCACACAGGAAATCCAAATAAAAGCAAAGTTTGATATAGCATAGCTGACAGCAGATATCCACAATAGATTTCCACAATGGTCAATACTCCACTAGAACTACTTTTATTTCTCTGAACAATTAGAATATGTACCAAACCACACATATTTCTGTGCAAATGTTAGTAGATTCATAGGTTAACTGCTTCCATTTTCTGTAAGTATTTAGAATACATCTGTGTTAAGATAAATGACAGCGAGCTGAAAGCTTTATTCCAGGCAATGAGGTTCATCAATTCTTTTGGTATTTTTTTTTCTTATTTTCTCCTAAAAACATCTGGCTCCCCCCCCCCCACTACTGTGAATATTCTACTGCAAAGGTTTGCATATTTTCTCTTTCAGTAATATAAAACAGCAAAGTTCTCCCAGCAAAGCTATTTAGCTACTCTTTTTTCCCCTCCAAACATTATGCTTTTGCATTTCATCACAGCTGCTTAAAAGATAACATCAATGCAAAATGAAGAGGCTTACCATCTGCCTACAAGCTGATTCATTCAGCAACACAATCACTGTTTCTAACTTAAACAAATATAGATTATGAAACTCACAAATTTAGTATCCGCTACTGAATTACTTTCATCCCACAATATCTCATTGGCTGCTCACAGAAGGAGAAGGTCTTGCAATTTAAAGGAAATTAAATATTGCAACTGAGAAGATACTAATAGTCTTGAGATTTCCATACCAAAATTTATTTATTTATTTATTTATTTGTTTGTTTGTTTGTTTATGAAGTTTGCCACACATCTCATGTCAAACAACTTGGGGCAGCTAACTGCATAAAAACATTAAAAAACATTAAAACCAACAGATATAAAATAACGAAGCAGATAAAAAGAACATTCTTTTTATCTGCTTTGTTATTTTATATCTGTTAGTTTTAATGTTTTGGGCCCTTCCTGACTCTAAGTCTGAATTAAACCTTCGAGGACTACTAAACTGTCAAGAAATAGTATTAGATTCAAAGAAGGCTATAATTTTTTATTCATTTAGTTGTATCTTGCCTTTATTATTTTTACACATCCAACAAACCTTTTTCCTCTTATTTTCCCCAGAATAACAACAACACTGTGAGGTGGGTTGGGCTGAGAGAAAGTGACAGCCCAAAGTCACCCAGCTGGCTTTCAGGCTAAGGTGAGACTAGAACTCAGAGTCTCCCACTTCCTAGCCTGGTTACCTTAACCACTAGACCAAAGTGGCTCTCTATAATATTCTCTGTTATACAAAGGTCTGAAGAACTTAATTCACATTTTATACCTCAGCAAAGGAAATCAGGCTGAATATTAGAAATAATTTCCTGATAGTAAGAGTGAAGGTTCTAAACACTGGCAGAATAGCCACTGTCAGGGACAGTTTAGTAAATTTCTCCACAGAGCAGGGGGTTGAATTGGATGGATCATTTATTTTATTTATTTATTTATTTGTTTGGATTTTTATCCCGCCCTTCTCATAAGACCCATTTCAACTCAACATCAGTATTATTATTTCACCTGCTGTTTTCTATAGTATGAAATTACTGTAAGTTCATAGGCTGCTCCTAAGCAAAGATCTGTTGAAAGGGGCTTGGAAAGTCCCTTGAAAGGTTGAAGGAAAGAAGAGGAAAGAGAGTATGGCAGGGGTCTTCAAATTTGGCCCTTTTATGACTTGTGGACTTCAACTCCCAGAATTCCTCAGCCAGGCACGCTGGCTGATGAATTCTGAGAGTTGAAGTCCACAAGTCATAAAAGGGCAAAGTTTGAAGATCCCCGGAGTATGGAAATCTGAAAATAGAATCCCTGGTTAAAGAACCCCAAAACAGCCTAGGTTCATTAAAAAGTTTGGAAGGCACCAACAAATATTGCTATTTACCTGCATGTTTGCAAATACATTGTCTGACCCATGAAATCCACCAGTGCAATATTTGAGCTCAGACCGTATCCTGCAAAACATATAATAATAACAAATAAGCCTGCCAGGATCAATTGAAATAAAATCTCTTCTTGGCCTTTCTTTTCCATATTGAGTCTTCTTGACACAATGTAAGCCCATTCTCTCCTTTGGTGGCTCTGATTATAGAATGCTCTTTGTCTGTTTACTAGTTTACTATCCTTGGTGAGATTTATGCCAAACTCCTTCAAGAACCAAAGCACCTGTATATTTCTTTGAGTGGTTATTTCTCAAACCACACGTACAATATGGGTAGCTCCTAGTTGGAAGATTTTGGAGCTTACATAATTGTTTGGCAGATGCTCTGTCCCACCCTACATATCTACCCCCCATGCTAATGGGTAGAACAGTGGTGGCGAACCTATGGCACGAGTGCCAGAGGTGGCACTCGGAGCCCTCTCTGTGGGCACACATGCCGTTGCCCCAGCCCCGCCTCCCCCCATGGCCCCCTCCACACCAGTAGCCCCTCCCAGAGGAGAGTCGCCCCAGGCACGGCCCACCTGGAGCAGCGCAGCCAAGGACATGGTAGCCGGGCAGTGGGGACAAGACTCCACCCTTGCGCCCCTTCGTAAACAGATGCTGCTGCTGGGCACGAGTGGAGGGCGTGGCCGCCATGGCGCTGCTGGGCAACCTGGGCAATCGGCAGGCCATGGAGGTGGTGGGTGGCCCTGTGGGTGGGTGGGGCAGGGATGGAGTGGGGGCAGTGCAGGGGGTGTGGGGCGGGTGTGGGGCAGTTTTTGGGCACTCAGTCTCTAAAAGGTTCGCCATCACTGGGGTAGAACTTTTATTACACCTCTTCAGTTCCTAAGACCGACATTGCAAATGAATTAAAGTCGCCTGAAATTAGAGAAGGTAGGAGAGCTGATTTTCTGAACTCACAGATGACCACTCAAATAACTTCAGTTAAGATAAATAGCTAGTTCTTCCACACTGTGGCCTCTGTTGTTCACAGATAACAAGTTGAAGGAGAATCTGATTCCCATAAGATGACTAAGGAGAGGACAACTGTTCCAAAAGCTGCATTTCTCAATGAGCAGAAGTTTGATAAAGGTGGAAGGTTGAGCCCATATGGCCCCTGGCATAACACTAGCAGGGTAATATGTGCCCCTGTTGCTCTTGTGGAATGAAATGCAAGATAGAAGTGTAAGATAAGGCAGCAACAGAAATAATTTGCTCCCACTTAAGTGAAATCAATAAGAATTAAAACAAAAACCAAGAGCTTACCGGGCAAGCTGCCACTGCTGGTCCATATAAAAATGTATCGATTCAATCCGTTTATTACTGGCATAGTGAAATCGCTTGGGAAGCATCTGCTTCAGGTATGCTTTGAAATGCTGCTCTGGGAGCAAACACTGCAATGTGGAAATCACAGTAGATGGTCATATCATCAACATGACGCAAAATATCTTACAGGGTTTGTTTTTTTCTCTCGACCTTGGTTGTAATCTGCCCTCAGAAATCTACACTGGACAGTACTTAGAGATGTATGGAGATTTAAGAGGTAGAGAAATCAGCAATGACATTCCTCCTCCAATTACAGATAATTTTATCTATGTTTATTAAGGTTGTACTTTCTTTTCTTCCAACAGGTGGCCCACAAGGAGCAGGTAATAAATAACTGATGTTGTAAAAGCACAATTAACCATAAGCAAACATTTATTAAAATATAACATGACAGCCATAATAAATAACCAATTTCTCCTTCCATATGAAGCATCCGAAACCTGCTTGCACATCAAAGGCTTGCCTAAGTAAACATGTTGGGCCTGTGCTTTTTTTTAAAACATAATTTTTATTGAAGAGATTTTTAACAAGATTAAAAACAATACAAATATTGGAAAGGAAAGAAAGAAAATTAGGAAGAGTTATGAATAACTAAGAAAGAAATAAAAAATATTAAAGAAGCATCCTTCAATTTTGGGGGGGCAGGTGTTTATAAATGCATTTACATTTTACCCTCTCTCTCTTTAAGGTTACATCTGAAGCATTAAAAAACAAAGTTCATAGCTTGTTTTAACTTGATTTGAAGCACAGTTTATTATGATCTGAACTCTTCAGGTATTGCTAATATTGTAACATATGAAGCCGATCTTCCTACTTTCCATCTCAAAACTTTTCAGTGATTTTTCTCCGAGACTTTCTGTAATGTCACGCAAGAAAACTGAAAACACATCTGGTATTTCCCAAGATCTCATTGAATTGGACATTCTAATTCAAAATCTCACATGAGAATAAAAAAAAACTACAGGATTTGAGTGTCTTGCAAGATTTTGTCCATGTAATATTTTTAAAGTATTTCCGCAAATGCTATTTCGATTGCTGTACTGTAGCTATTGCGGAATCCACAAGTATTTTTGTATTCAAAAATAATATTCAAAATCCTGGTTTACCAACCACAATTTCTAGATTTAAAAATAACACTAAGACAAACCAAACCACCTTATCACTTAAAATGATGGGTCGGAGCATAGTCAGACTATTTAATATATATATATATATATATTTCTATCCAGGATTACTTTTTATACCAAATACTGATTCTTGTTTAATTTTTTTCTTTCCCTCTCAGGAGAAAGGAACACTATAACAGCAATATAATAATATACCAAGGGGATGCAACCCCCATATCTTGATATGTCTAAAGGAGGGAAGGTATATTAGATCTGGATGAGTTGACTAATTCTATAAATGATGGGGAAAATGTAGCTAATGTAGTTTGCTGGGTTGGGCAACTATATTAAATCTAATCAATGAAATAAGAGTCGTGACTTGGAGAAGATGTCAGTACTTACTGTAAGGTTTCTGACAAGGCCTTCATAATCAACTAGAAGAGTTAGATGAGATAATTAGTTACCTATAGTTTTAAAAAAAGAAAAATAAATAATGTCCAACTAAGTATCTGAATCACATTTCATCTTGTTTATAAGCTAATCAAAATGTTCTTCTCTGCCACAGCCATTAAAAGTAACTCTTTGCCATACAGCAGAACACAAGGATGTAAACACATCAGCATAGATAACGCTAAAACAGTTTTCTGAAAACTGCCCCATATTGAATTAATATTCAACATTCATACGCTCTAGGAGATTTCTGAATGGTCAATGTAATTGTTAAAATAATAACAAGGCAAACTATATTATAATGTGGAATTAAAGGGCATAATGTTTTTGCTAAAGTATTGAATGCCGATGGTCTCTTTCAGACTGGCTTGCCTACACATAATGAAACCAGGTCCAAACTTGCACTAGATAAAAACAAATAGTGCAAGTAGCTGCAGTTCCAAATTACATACAAATATCTACAGAAAATACATAAATTTCCCCAAAAACATCCATATAAAGGTAACAAGCAGCAATTTTTTTTTGCTTTAAGATATTATCTGAAAAAATATGACTGTAGATATGTATTGAGAAGATTTCAGAGATCAGTTGATCACTCAGTTCACTGGAAGACTACTTCTTCACTGTAAATCGCTATCCTCTAGGGAAACTTTGCCTACTGGTAGTAAAGAAATGTGGGAATCTGGTACCTGACACTGAACTTTCAAGTTTTGCCTTTAAACGTAATACCTATTATATTGGCAAATCATAATTACAATATTTCTATTTGTTTTGATGTGTGATCCTAAGAGATGTTCAGTAGTACAGTTTTCATTGGAAGGTCTATGTCAAAGTTTCCAAAAGTTTATACAGTAATACCCAGTGATGGGATTCAGCCAGTTCGGACCACTTCGGCAGAACCGGTAGCTAATTTTTTGTTGCTAAGGCCCAGAATGGACTTCCGTAAGTAGCATCCACACAGAGAACTGGTTGTTCACATATTTGAATCCCACCACTGGTAACACCTTTAGTGTCTCAATAATTTTTTTAGAGCACAGTAGGCTTAAAGAGCACCCAAAACTCAGCTTCAGGAATGGATGTCACAAAAACTTTAAACATCCCACGGCATCCCCGTGAGTTTGCATCCAAGAGCCACAGGGTAGGAATCACAAGCCATGCCCTACATGAATACCGATAGAGAGGAGTATTTAAATGTTTGCCATTGTTGTTTAAAACTATAACATTGTGACTTTTTTTACAGGTGCAAATAAAGGGTGGAATCCAGTATTGATCATATTCTGGAAGAAAGAGAACATATGCAGTCCCCCCACCAAAAATATCTCTAGCCAAATTATTCTAGAACAGACATGTCAAACTTGCGACGACGTCGCGCAAGGTTTTGCCATTGCCGGCAATGGGGTGGGCGTGGCTTCCGGATGTCGCGTCCGGCCTGCAGGCCGGCAGTTTAACACCCCTGTTCTAGAAGATCTCCAAAACAGGAAAGAATTGGCCAGCCTCACTTCTGCAAGTCAGGTTATCAGGAAAAGTTCAACCAGTAAATGCAAGCATTTAATCTGATCCCACAGCTTCATATAAGATCAACATCCACACACTAAAACAACAATATAAAACAAGCAAGTAATTCAAATTGGTCTAGTAGTTACATACAAGAGAAATACTCATCTGGAGAATTTTGGGGTCTTAAGCGAGCTGCAGGGCCGGGTACCACAAACAGGTCTTTAACATTGCCCAAATATGCATCCAGGTAGACTGTTTTTTGGCAGTTAGCTTCCTCCATTCCTTGGAGAAAAATATAAAGATTTATGCTTGTTTATAAATATGGACATATTTTACTAACGCACTGAGTAAAAGTAGCTCTCAGATATAATTACTAGCAAGAAATTAACTCTAAGACTTGTTTGTTCATATAAATGAATATAAATTATTTCCACTCTCCATATTGTTTCCAACTTCTTTATATGCAAGTTCCAATGACTGAACAAAACCTACCTGTTTAGAACCCACTTAAACTAGTAGTCTTTTTAAATAATAAACATCTAAGGCTCTAGATCAGGGGTGGGGAACTATGGCCCTTTTATTAGTTGTGGACTTCAACTCCCAGAATTCCTGAGCCAGCTGGAGTTGAAGTCCACAAGTCATAAAGGGACCATTGTTCCCCACCTCTGTTCTAGATCAATGTCAATTCAATCCAAATAGGATATATACATGTCTGGGCCCAGCATTTATACATGGAGCTCCAGATGGCTGGAAATGTAAGCAACTGGTGTTTATACAGTGGTTAGCCCAATCAACAGGCAGGGTGTCACAGGGGTAGCCTAATCAGAAAATCTAGAACATTCATTTCCTTCCTGACCAAGTGGTGCTCACTCTATGGACAACATCCTCTGAAGCTGTACTTCACATATAACTGAAATGAGTCATCTGTATGTCACATTAGCACTTTCCTTTTCACTAAGCATTGTTGGTTTGGCACATGGCTTCAATTAAACCATGATTATAATTTCTGTAATCAATAAACCAGATGGGTTAGAATTAAGTCCAGTAGTGACCTTATGAAAATTTGCTCCTAAACTAGTCTACATTTTACAAGTTTTTTTAATATTGCCAGACTACTGCAAATTTATCTTTTCTTTCCAAACAATAGTTTACTGTTTCATTATTTATTTATCTGGTTTATTGATTACAGAAATTATAATCGTACTTTAACTGAAACCATGTGCCAAACCAACAATGCTTGGTGGTAATGAAAGTGCTGAGATACAGATGAGTCATTTCAAGAATGTTTTATGTATTCTAAAATCTACATGGTTTAACAAGACTTACCATGGTCAGAAATAAGAATAATATTAACGCAGTTGTGAAGGTTCATTTGCTTAAGCCCATCCATCAACAGCCCAACCACTTTGTCTACTCTCTCTAATGCAAGAATGACCTGCAAATCAAAAGTGAAGAGAGGCAAAGTAAATAAGTTAACCCATATTTCAAAAAAAATGGTGGTTCCCAATAAATATTCTGCTGTCAATAGAAAGCATCTGTCAGCAATATAGAGTAAGAATTGGTTTTTCATTAGCCTCCCTTTAATTCTGCTTGATATAGTTTGGAGAGCATTTTGGCACAATATAGCTGACTGATGATACTTTCCATCAACAGCAGATCAGTTAGATATCACCAAATAATTTTTCCATGTCCTTCATGATAGCTGCTGACTCAAGTAAAATTACTTGTGACATAGACCACTGTCTAAGATTAGCAATTCCAGCAATGATCATTCATTGACTGCAAGGCTGAGCTATGCTGGGCTGCTGTTTAGTCACCCCTGTAACTGAGTTAAGAGATAAAGAGTCCTCCATAATAAAACTAAACAAACAAAGCCTTGCAGACTAGCCAAATATTGTAGAAAACATTCCAAATTTCCAGAACACTTAATCAAGGAGGAGTATCACAAAAGCAAATGACAGAGAAGAAGCAAAAAATATCTAAAAATTAGGCCAATCCTGATATGCGCATCCTTCCTCAAAACAATTGTTATTCCATGCCATGTGATAAGAAATAGATGTTATTATTATTTTTAATTTATTAAATGTACACCCCACTTTTCTATCTATACAATGCCAACGGCAGCTTAAAAATACAAATGATAAAATATAGGAATAAAAACAATGAAATTAAAATGAAACCAAAATTAAAATCAATGTCATTAGAAACAATGCAATTAGCAATTAAAAGTTTTTCCTAACTGTTAAGTGCTAGTCAAACACACTCCATGGTCTGGGGACCACTTAAGAGAAAACCATCCTCACATACTAGATAGCCATACTAGATTTCTAGCAGCAAGGGAGATCTTCAAAAGGATGATTCTGGCTGATATAAGTAACCAGGCAGGTTCAAAGCAGAAGAGAACAATTTTCTTATTTTAATATAGTATATGTCTAGTCTAAGAAGAAGAAATGAGAAAAAAGATCTCCCAGTGCTGGTCTTCAATAATCTTTTTTAACCCAGGGATTTAAATATGTAAAGAATTCTGCATGCAGTTGAATGTTCAGCATTTTTTTCTTCCCTATTTAGGGATAGGCATTGGCCTTCCCCTTTAAAAATTAACTTTCACTTATATGTTTAATGCATAAAATTTGATCCAAGAAGTATTAAAATGATCTCTTTTCAAAGTTCCAGATTACCATCTGATCCTAGTAACCCAATGTACATACATATATTTCTCTGTTATCTAGTTGGGTCACTTATTTTTTTAAACACTTCTTAACTTTTAATCCTATCAGTGTTAATTTGGATGTCTGAGTCTAGTTATTTAATACGACTGTAAATCTGAAATCTTCTTTAATAATTATGTTTAGCAATCTTGTCCGTGGTCTCCATTGAATGTATTCTGCATCAAGATCTTTCATAGTTGTTTTCACTTTTTATATGTCATAATATTATACTCAAAGAGCTGTGCATCATTTTTATAATATATGAATAATTAAAAGGGTGTTTTATTTTAAATGAGGGGATCAAATAGCCTTTTAGTTAGATTTCTTTAATGTTGTAATCCTTAATCTACTATGGAACTTAATTTAAAAGAAATGCCATTATAACATCCATTTACTTACTTCACTGCTGATTGGCCCATAATGGTGTCCTGAGGAATCTGGTTCTTCTAAATACAGAGTGTAAAAGTGTGGTCTATATCAAACAGCATTAAAATGTAATATTTTACATATAAATTAAGAGAAGAGTGAAAATATTTAAATTCAGTAGACTTCATTAGAAACAATTACATTAATAACAAATCTTGTGGTGGTTTATATAAAAATGTATATTATAGTACACATATAGATAACATATGTGGATAAAGCATGATGACCAGGAGGGCTGGGTTCTGAATCAAACAATCTCTCACTAAATGGCCTTAAGCCAGGGGTCTTCAAACTTGGCAACTTTAAGACTTGTGGATTTCAACTCCCAGAATTCCAGGGCTGGCTGGGAATTCTGGGGGTTGAAGTCCACAAGTCTTAAAGTTGCCAAGTTTGAAGACCCCAGCCTTAAGCAAATCATACTCTCTCAAATTCGGCCCATGATATGAGTAGTAGTAGTAGTAGTAGTAGTAGTAGTAGTAGTAATATCAATTTACTACAGTATGCATTAATGTTACAAGGATTTAAAGTATGCACATGAAGCATTCTGAACAATTGAAAGCACTGTGCAAATGTTACCTATAGTGAAACCTCAGTTTAAAGGACTTTAATTCAACAGATTTCAGATTCAACAGATAAAATTTCCACTGCAGTTATAGTTGAATTATGACATTGTGGTATATAACAATGGTAGCGAACCTATGGCATGCGTGAGGTGGCAGTCAGAGCCCTCTCTGTGGGCACACATGCCAGGCCCCGGAGATGGCAACCGTCCCTCTTCAACCAGCCGCCCGCTAACTCGCCGAGGTCCCACATGGTCAGATGCATCCCAGCACCCATGCACTCGCTGGCCTCTGTGTGTGGGGGGGCTGATGGTGTCTGCCCTGCCTCACCTTGCCTCGCCTCATCCCGTAGGACGAGCCTCCTGCCCACCGTCCCACCTGCCAGAGACCCCCCTGGATCTCCCCCAACCCTGCCTGGCCCCCACAGGCGTCCCTCCCCACGAGCAACATCGAGATGATCACGCCCACCTTGGCCACACCCACCCAGTCTGCCATGATCACCACAGCCACGCCCACCCAGTGGGCCACGTCCACCTGGCACCCGGCGATAAATAAGTAGGTTTTGGGTTGCAGTTTGGGCACTTGGTCTCTAAAAGGTTTGCCATCACTGGTATATAACATTCTATCCAGGCTAACAGATAAATGGGAATAATAGAAACTCCTTTCACCAAACTGAACCATTAATGTGAAGAAATCACTATGTATTATATTACTCCACATTCATACTATGTTGCAGTACAAGCTTTTATGAACCCTTTAAAATTTATTGAAACAAACTTCACAACATCCACAAGATAAGCCAACTAGCCAATTCAACATAGCAGTTACTATTTGCCTTTCTATTATTTTATACATTGCTTTGCGATGGCAATTTACTTACCTTTCTTCTTCTGGTAATTTTAGCCAGCTAAGAAATGTTACTACTCTTTCTTCAAATGGTATTGATCTAAAGAGAAAATACCAACAGAACACAGAGACTTGCATTTGGCTTTGGGCAGCTGTTGTTGATTTATTAAATCTGGATATAAAGTTCCAGCATATTCTAAAATAGGTCCAGAAAATAGGTCATATCCAGAAAATAGGTCATTATAGATCAGGATTTAAACACTGTAACAATTATTACTTAGATACTTTGAATCAAGCAAGTTTTATGAATCCCCATCTGCACTGCAGAAATTTGGACAGTCACTAGATGGCAGTAACTCTCTGATCATCTGAATAGCAATAGCACTTAGGCTTATATACTGCTTCATACAGTGATGGAATTCAAATTCCTGAACCAGTTCTCTTATTCGATGCAGGCCTGGGCTTCCGAGGCCTAGAATGGACTTCCAAAAGTGGCATCCGTGCACTTCCAGTGGGCTGTTCTAGGCCTGGGAGGCCTTCTCCAGGCCTCCGAGGCCTAGACTGGACTTCTGGAAGCCAGTTGGTTCTTCAAATGCAGCAAAATTTAGCCACCAGTTCTGCCGAACTGGTGCGAACCGGCTGAATCCCACCACTGGCTTCATAGGGCTTTACAGCCCTCTCTAAGCGGTTTACAGAGTGAACATATTGCTCCCAACAATCTGGGTCCTCATTTTATCTCTCTCGGAAGGATGGAAACCTTGAGCCATTCAGAATCAAACTCCTGGAGTGGTGAGCTAGCCTGCAGTACTGCATTCTAACCACTGCGCCACCACAGCTCCATAATATTGTACCCTGAGGATTTTATCTAAGACAGGGTCCTTCAAACTTGGCCCTTTTATGACTTGTGGACTTCAACTCCCAGAATTCCTCAGCCAGGCATGCTGGCTGAGGAATTCTGGAAGTTGAAGTCCACAAGTCATAAAAGGGCCAAGTTTGAAGGACCCTGTCTTAGATAAAAGGGCCAAGTTTGAAGGACCCTGTCTTAGATAAAATCCTCAGGGTACAATATTTGAAGACCCCCGATCTAAGAGATACAGAAAAGAATAAGTGATGGTTGGTTTGAAATAAGCCTATCATTCAGAAAAGAATAAGAAGATATTTGCCATAACATGGTTAGCCAATTAAGGCTTTTTTGCCTACTATTTTTATTAGAAGAAATATTTTCATGTATATCTTGGAAAACTAATTGGAATATTATGAAAATATTCAGAATATTTTAAACATCAAAATTTTCTAAAAACAAGTCGGGCTTTTTAAGTGCAGGAATATCTGCTTAGGATTTTCAGAGACTTGTGCTTGGAAATGCATATTTAGGACAACAAGCACACAGATATAATTCTAGAAATTCTATAATTACACCAACCCTGTATGGATGCTGTGTAGCTTTACAAGCCAATACAATGTTAATTCTAGTGAAACTATTAACGAAGTTAAAATAAATTCATAAGCCCTAAGAAGTATGTCCTTGTTTAATGGAACATCTGGAATCAATAAAACTGGTCTTTTGTAAGGAATGAGGTAGATAGACTCAGTTACAGTGGCAATGGGTATAATATCAGAAGACCTGAAAAACCAGGTTAGGGACAGATCAAGGAGAAAATTTATTTGTGTGGTTGAAAATAATCAATCAACGCACTATAAAGCTAATCCCTTCTGTCTCTCCCCTACCACCTACAAAAAAAACCCTCAAACTATATTTAAGAAGGATATTTGGAAAGAATTACAAATTCAGAATTCTTATAGAGCTTTTCAGCATGTTGTGTAACAAAAAAAATTGAAAGCTAATTAACTTCTCAGAATGTCATCAATGCTAATCTTCAAATCTTTATACAAAAAAACAGAAAATGCATCACAAAATAATTTTTAATAAACAAGCAACTTACAATCAGCATAATATCAAAATCAACTAAACATGCAATCCCATAGAATGTAGGGGTTCCTAATAGAACAATTAAATAAATGGAATCCATAAGATAATACAAAATCAAATGATATGCTAATGACTGAGAGCATCTACTGGAGAATTTATTATGTGCTTAAAATTTACCAACAGATTTTCTTTGAAGAAGGTTTTCAACCTTATCAACCAACTAAACCTAAGTGATTGATAATATTTAAAACAACAGCAGAAGGGCACCACAGCAAGAGCTTTAAAAAGAGGAAAACTATTCCCAAAAAATCCTGCCACACTTAAAAGGTTTAGCTTTTTAGGACTTTGTTCATGATATTCTTCCATTCACAAGTTCTCACCTATTGTATAATTTGTACAAGTTTGGAAAACTTCCATTGACATCAACATCTGAACCAGGCCAGAAAAACGAAGCAGATTTTAGTCCCTGATACATTGCAGTCAGCCAAATCTGTATAAAAAGATTAAAAAAAACCCCACTTGTTATTCATGAATTATTTCTGTTTTTGGAACAGTATTTAGAAAATAATTTGCTGCTTTAAAAGAATTCCATGGATTTTTGCTTGCCATTTTCCACCCCCTCAAAAAGAATATATTCGTCACTAACCTCATGCCATTCTTCTCTTACAGAATCTTTCATTGTTTATGTTTATAGCAATTTATTTTCCAAGGCCATTCATAAGAAGATGAGAAGCTGCCTATATTTATGATAGTACCTCTGCCTAGATCTGCTAACCTGTTTCTTCTAACTATAGATAAATGCTTTATTTATTCATATAATCTGCAAGAATAACTGAATATTTCAACATTTCTCTGATCAAGTCTTTTCTACGCTATACGGTATGGCATTGAGCATTCTTGATCTTGTATTTACAAAGAAGGGCTTCATTTTGGACCTGTCTCCTGAAAGCCACAATTCCTTTTTCAAAAATAAGTGGATGGTGAAATTAATGGAGTTGGCAGAACATGGCGAAATTGATTGCTTTGATTAAAGAAAGATCTAGCTTTGTTTCTACTTGGTAATCACTCTTGAATTTTTTTTGAAACAAATGAGATTTTAACTTGGGTTTTCATGGTTAGATATGTTTGTGGTGACTGAGGTATTGTTTAGTAGGATGCATTCTAGTTCAAAGTGTCATTAATTTATATGCTTTTATCCGGATGGAAGAAAGTTAGACATTACTTTTTTCTACATCTTTTTGTTATAGTTGCTGTTTCTTGCACTCCCTAGTTTTTTTTTTGTTTTGTTTTTTTTGTTACCACTTTCCCTAACTCCTTTTTTTTTTTTTTTTTTTTTTTTTTTTTTTTTTTTTTTTTTTTTTTTTTTTTTTTTTTTTTTTTTTTTTTTTTTTTTTTTTTTTTTTTGCTTTTTTTGTGCATTTTATATATTTTTGGAAATTTAATAAAGTTTTGGGGAAAAAATTGTTCTTTCTTCCTTTCTTTGTTCTGTTTCAAAAGAGCATGGCAAATTAATCCACTATAAATTTAAGATGGCCTCCTTCTCCTGCACAGGCTATCTGGTCAGACATCACCAATATATCTGCCAATCCACAGTAGTTTGCAGAATCCTTAATGCCCTTGCCACATTTCTCCACTCCCATCCAATCCGTTTGTCTCCTCTTCTTCCTTCCTATTTACCTTCCATTTTCCAGCTGTCCTACATTAACACCCCTGACAAACTATTTCTTCTTCTCCCTTTTTTGCCTCAGTATTTTGTTCCCCTTGTCTAATGTTTCTCTCCTTTCCTGGTTTTCATCTCTATGTCATTATCTCTTTTTCTACTTGAGAGCTGCAAAAGCTTGGGAAAAAAAAAACAACAACTGAGAGGCTTCATGAACACAGGAAAACCATAAATGAGATTTGAGGATAACAGCAATCTTGTAATAACAATACCGAGAACAACAGCTATACTAGCATGTTGCAGAAATAATAAAGAATAACTGATCACATTTCTTTTAATGATCAGAAGGAATTGGAACACATGAAGAAAGTACAATATAAAGCAATCGGATTTTTTTTTTTAAAGATTCTGGGAACAACATGAAAGAAAAAAAGGCCTTTGTATTAGTAAAAATAAAAAATAAAAGTTTCTGCCATTTATCTTAGAGTGTAGGAGGAAGTTTCTGTTTGCTCTAGGTCAGGGGTAGTCAACCTTGGCTCTTTTATGACTCGTGGACTTCAACTCCCAGAATTCCTGAGCCAGCACAACTGGCTCAGGAATTCTGGGAGTTGAAGTCCACGAGTCATAAAAGAGCCAAGGTTGACTACCCCTGCTCTAGGTTATGGTGCTGGCCTAGAAACCAGGAGACTGTGAATTCTAGCCCCATCTTAGGCATGAAAACTGGCTGGATGACTTTGAACCAGACACTCTCTCCTAGTCCAGGACAAGGGTTATTGTGGGGAAAATAGGAAGAGGAAGGAGTATTGTGTGTCTTCTCCTCCTTGGCTTATTGATAAAAATAATGAAGATAGGATATAAATACAATATTTTTTTAAAAAAAGTAAAATAAAATTATAATAATTTGTGCATGTTTTCAATATCCTGAGAATAAAAATACATCAAAGGACTATGATACAATGAACCAAACTGCAAGTGTGGCCTATTACACAAAGACAGTTGAGGAGTAAAAGGCAGGGAGAACAAGAAAAGAACAAATGAGATAGCAAGAGAAAAACCTTTCATGTTTCAAAACCTTTCATCAAAACAATCAGCACCGCTGAAAGGAGAACCTGCTTTTTGTCTATCAAAAAGCCTTGTATTACACAAATCAGTAAAAGAAGGAAAAAGGAAAATACCCACTACCTGAAATTCTCTCAGCTTCCCATGAGACATCACGTTATAAATATTGCATCTATTGTATTTATAATTCTGTAGATAAAATTTGTGCAGATCTATGGAATCAATGCAGCATACACCATAAAATGAACTGCAGCTTTCCCCCCTTTTACGTCTGAATTTCTGATCTTAACTATGTAGTTTATTTGAACTCCAGTAAACGATTGTGCCGACTAGCGTCTTTCATATAATCTAAGTACCCTATGTCAAACACGTTCCCGTCTTCCATTTTTCAAATGAAAAAGAAAAAAAGACCGTCCCAACCGTACATCCCCAAGGGTATTTATGCCTATTGCATCATCACTGCACTGGAAAAGTCTCCACAATAATCACAGCTTAGGCCAGGGGTAGGCAACCTTGGCTCTTTTATGACTCGTGGACTTCAACTCCCAGAATTCCTGAGCCAGCACAGCTGGCTCAGGAATTCTGGGAGTTGAAGTCCACGAGTCATAAAAGAGCCAAGGTTGCCTACCCCTGGCTTAGGCTAATGTCTTCTGACCAGCCTGATCATTTCTTTTCAGTGTTTCCATGGAAGGGAAGAACAACAGATGAGTCTGTTGTTAATCCTGTCCCCATTTTTCAATTCTAAGTCCGTATGTGAATGAAACCCACTCTACCAATTTCTGCTCATTAATCCTGCAGCTCCATTTTCTCTGATCACATTTATGCTATCATGATTAAATATTGTGATTTGAAATGAAATCTAGACTTAACTAAATGGAGTGCTACTTTCTAGGGTTAGAACAAATCTAAGCCAAGCAAATGCTTCCTACAGGACAAAACAGGCTGTCATGGTTTTTCGATTCCTCTCCATTCCCAAATGAGTCAGTTCTTTTTTCCTCCAGATATCTCAAACTTTCCATAGGGGGAGCATCAGGAAAAGCAGAAATTAGAGAAACAGTTCTGCCACTTCTTTCTTCCAGCAAAAGTGAAACTTCATCAAGGGCAAGTCCCACCTGAGGTATAAATTACTGAATAGCTTGTTTTTTCTTTCAACCTCCCTTTTTCTTCACATAATAATAATAATAATAATAATAATAATAATAATAATAATAATAATAATAATAATAATAATAATAATAATAATAATAATAATAATAATAAAATTGGAAGGGACCTTGGAGGTCATCAAGTCCAACCCCCTGCTCAGGCAGGTAACCCTATACCATTTTGGACAAATGGCTGTCCAGTCTCTTCTTAAAAACTTCCAGTGTTGGAACATTCACCGCTTCTGGAGGCAGGTTGTTCCACTGGTTAATTGTTCTGTCAGGAAGTTTCTCCTTAGTTCTAGGTTGCTTCTCTCCTTGATTAGTTTCCATCCGTTGCTTCTTGTCCTGCCTTCAAGCACTTTGGAAAATAGCTTGACTCCCTCTTCTTTGTGGCAACCCTTGAGATATTGGAACACTGCTATCATGTCCCCCCTCGTCCTTCTCTTCATTAAACTAGTCATACCCAATTCCATCAACCTTTCCTTTTATGTTTTAACCTCCAGTACCCTAATCATCTTTGTTGCTCTTCTCTGTACTCTTTCTAGAGTCTCAACATCTTTTTTACATTGCTATCTTTATCAATATTATGTTACCATTTCTCTGTGGAGAAGGCAGATAGCCTTGGTTTTATCTTTAACTCTCTCTTTCTCTCATTTCTCATAGTTAGTCCCACGCAGCTCATGTTGCTTCTCCATGCAATAAAATTACACAATGATTTTCTCTTGCAGAACAAGCAGGCAGAAGGATAGCAGAGTGCACCCATGAACACCAATCAGAAGACACAATGAAAGCTCCTTAATTTCACAACATATTGACAGACTTAACCATCAACAGGGAAATTGTGAGCATCCTAGACTAAACTAAATCCAAAAATCTTAGGGAACACCTGGAAATTTGGCATTTAGACAAATCAGCGTCAACAGGCACATAGGTTATACACCATTCAAAAAAGACTATAAGAAGCATTAAAAAAGAAAAAAGAAAAGATAAAACAAGGAGAAGAAAAAGGAAAAAAATATGAGATAATATTTAACAATTGGTGGTGGGTTGTCAGTGGGTGGTTACAGTCTGCCTAATTTTGCAGAAAGTATAACAACATTTAGCTACATTCAAAGAGACTATATCTGACTGATCCGATAACAGCAATTGCACATAAAAGAAATTGGTGCTTCCCAGGTATTTTATTAGGTGAGCTATTATGAGATGGGTCCTTACAGAAGATACAATATAGTAGAATGTGAGATGCATTTGGTATCTTTTAATAATTAATAACACATTATACTCAGAATTGATACTTACTGGCTGTCCTTGGTACCACTGTCGATTAAACTTCTCGGCATTTTTGAGTGTGAAAGTAGCATTTCTCTCTGGATCATACATTTTGTTATCCACTAGACCATGGGATTCTGGGTACAGACCCTGGAAGTAATTAATTAATATGCATCAATAATGATGACATATCAATAGTTGGAGACCCCAAACTGTACACAGTAGGAGACAGTAACACTTGGAGATCCATCCGGTTTGATTCCCTCCAGCTTATTATTACAATAGTGGATTTTAAACTAAAGTTTGCTAAAAGAAACTCTACATGTCTTTGTTAATCTTTTCTCACTATTCCACAGTTTGGGAAATTTCTAGGCACTCTTTATTTCATGTGCAAGGCACAAGAGAAGTTAAAGCATTAAGGCTAAATGACAATATTGGATTTAGAGTGAAAACAGGCACAAAGAACACAAAGAACACATCAGGCAAACAAATACTGGGACATTATGGTATCTACACTGGAAACATGGAATTAAGGAGTGGGAGAAAGTTACAGAAGTCACTCCTTGGTTATTTCTCCTAATATAATGAAATAGGATTTTTAAAACTCTAGTACTCTCCTTCAAAGAGAGTATGGAACAAGAAAAGCAAGAACTTAAACCTACTCTTACCGTAGCAATGCTGTAATGATTAGGGAATGTTTTTGATGGATATACTGGCCTTAGGCTGCGAGTATATGTCCCACATTTTCCTGTCAAGGAAAAAAAATGCAATTCCATGTTTATAAATAACGTACTTTTTTCATATCAAATATTCAGAATGATTTAGAATAATATGGCAATTCCCATATGTGTTTTTTTTGCAGCAGCAGCAGCAGCAATAGATAATACATGGGCAACCCCTGAATCTTTTTTTTACCAGCTCTGAAACTGCCAAATGCCAACAGCAGTGAATCTGGGTAAAGAAATAAACACAATAGCCTCAGTTTTAAAATAGGCTTGGTACATATTAGATAAATCACTCTGATTGCAAAATTCAGAATTCTCAATCAATATAGTCTTTATTGAGGAATGGTGGCATAGAGCAAGAATCAGGAAGGGATCTATTCATACAAAGCCCATATACAGAGTTCAGGCAGCCTTCCTCAATAGGCTGGAGACAGTTTTTGTTGGCCTAGTGAAAAATTACAATTTCATCTAGGAAATTGCTTTAGCTATTCCCTGTAGGGAGAATTATATGAATTTCTTCCTAAAGTACATATAAATACACTAATTGCTCATTAGACTTCTTGGATTTCCTGTGAAACAATGGTTCCCTTAAAAAAAGAGAGTCAGCTTTGATTAGGCATTCTGACATTAATATTTTGCTACTGCAAGACAGAGATATTAAAAGGGATAATAGAGATATTGAAAAGAGATTCATATTCCCATATAATATTAAATTTTTGATATGAATGCTTAAAGCATGCCTAAAATTGCTAAAAATATATTGATTTCTTTGGACTTGTTTCATTATCAGTTAAAAATAAAAAAAACATTCTACTATATTGTAATACTTGTATATTCTAAAGAATTAATTTAACATTTCTTGCAATTATTATTATTATTATTATTATTTAAATTTATATACCGCCCTATCTCCCTTACGGGACTCAGGGCGGTGAACAGGCAATAATAAAAATCACAGTAAATATTACATAAAAGCCTGTTCTAAAATATAAAACCTCTAACAAAACCCAATCAAAACTATGCCAGGCCGGCCGCATGGAACAGATGAGTTTTCAGGGCTCGGCGGAAGAGGCGCAGGTCCGCAATTGTACGTAGGTCGGGGGGCAGGTCATTCCAGAGGGCAGGAGCTGCCACAGAGAAGGCTCTCCCCCTGGGGGTCACCAGCCGGCATTGGCTGGCCGACGGTACCCTAAGGAGGCCCTCTCTGTGGGAACGGACTGGTCGAAGGGAGATATTTGGTAGGAGGCGGTCTTGCAAATACCTAGGTCCATTGCCATGGAGCGCTTTAAAAGTTGTTACTAACACCTTGAAGTGCACCCGGAAGGCCACCGGCAGCCAGTGCAGCTCGCGCAGGAGAGGTGTTACATAGGAGCATCTAGAGGCCCCCAAAATCCCCCGCACAGCTGCATTCTGAACTAGCTGGAGCCTCCAGGTGCACTAACTTGACAACATTAACACTCTTGATATATTGTAATAATGAACCATAAAAAGTCTATATATAACAAATGTATTATTGGGTCCTACGAATTTTATGTTTGACTGGGACTTTTCAAACAGTTAACTCAGGAAAATCAGAACATACATACATACATACATACATACATACATACATACATACATAAAGGAAGTTTTTCAGACAGACCAGTCTGATTGAGTACACCTTGACATTTTTAACTGCTATACTGCAGTTTTTCTTTTTAAATATAAAAGTTTAGGTAAAATGGGCATATGTTGTTATAGAATAGCTTAGAAAATAGTACATTCTACCAAGTCACAGTTTATTTTAACAATGGTTTGCTAAACTAATCATAGTGGCCTGGTTCACATGTAATACTAAACTATGGTTTGCAGACCGTAACTGCACTGGGTTTTTGCATCCCGGTAAGCCAAAATCAAACTACATTATAGTTTAATCTGTTATATGAGCCTAATCAAATAGAGCAGGGGTGTCAAACTTGCCACGTCACGTGACATGTCACAACTTTTTTCCCCTTGCCGGAGCTGGGGTGGGCGCGGCTTCCACGTGACGCATTCAGCCCGCAGACCGGCAGCTTGACACCTTTGAAATAGAGGGACCCACTTGTTTTTAATGTAGTTATTTTCTGTTCCTTTGCATTACAAAAAATAAAATAAATGTTATTACACTGTTCCAAATGAAATGCAAAATGCCCATCATCCTCACTGTCCTCATATATTTTAGGTACTGCTAAAAGTATCAAATAGGGAACTTAGATTGAATTACTATATCAATAACTTACAGATGAAAAATACTTATTGTTCTTCTGTCATCTATCAGCCCTCTAAAATAAATAGGTTTCAAATATATTCAAGAGTATTCTTTCTCTACAATCCCATTGCTCATATACTTCATAATCATTCTTTAGAGTATTAAAATTTCCATATCTGGAAATGTAATCATTACACACTTATAAGAGTTTAAAAAGAATTGCTGAATTCAAGCAGGACTCCAGCAAGTTCATTCTTGGGTCTTGAATCACTGCTCACCCATGAAACATCCAAGACGTATTTGGAGTTTACAAAGGATATGAAGAGCTTCACGTCATATGAAAGGGAACACCACTTCATTCCCTTTTTTTCTTATTATCTCTGCTTGCTATTGCTCAGAAAGAGTAGGTACTCACTTAATTTGCTAATAACAGGAAGAAGTTTGCCCCACGTTTGCAAATATTCAGCTCGGAATCCATCCAAAGAAAACAGCAACACTGGAGGTTTTGTAAATCTGAGTTGGAAACATTAGAACAGTTAAGGTAAGCATCTAATAATTATTCATTTATTTTCTGCATGCTATAGATTAAAGGCCTCTTCCTCCATGTGACCATAAGCATGTGGCAAAAGAAAAGAAAACCACATCAAAACTCACTATTCATTTACATCAGCTGTCTTCAGCCTGATGCCCTCTTAAAAACCTGAACCTCAGCTGCCATAACAATGGGATCTAGAGGACAGTAATGGCGAACCTTTTAGAGACCGAGTGCCCAAACTGCAACCCAAAACCCACTTATGCATCATCGAGTGCCAGGTGGATGTGACCCATTGGGTGGGCGTGGCTGCAGTGGTAACGGCAGACTGGGTGGGACTAAAAAGTTCAATCAATCAATTCCAACTTTGCAACTTCCCATGAGAAGTTGAAATTGACTGATTGAACCTTTTTTTTTGCACACGGCAGCAGAGGTCTAAAGTGAAAAGGTTTTATAAAACCCAGCTGAAGGCCTAGGACTGGGGCGACAGCGCGCGTGCCCACAGAGAGGGCTGTGAGTGCCGTCTCTGGCACCCGTGCCATAGGTTCGCCACCACTGCTATAGGAGATAAGAGCCACATTTTTTATAGTACTAAGCTGGGAAGCTGCAGTATAGACTTTGCCAATCTACACAAAATTCTACCCGAGAGGGAGGAAGTAAGTTTCTTTATGTAGAGCAAATATCTTCCCCACAAAGGTGGACAATGAGGAAAGAAGAAGCTGTAGCAACAATTATGGGGATGAAAAATATAATGTGAATTTGTGCACACACAAATAGGGCTTACAGTATATAAATATGTACACAGAGGTAAATCAGGCAATGGCAACTGGGACTGGAATTTCCATCACTAAGCAACATGGTCATAAAGTGCAACATCGTGTGGCTGCACCATTTAGTGACAGC